GTGGCATCGCCATGCTTTCTGGATGACAGTGAATGAATGAATCCTCCTGGGCGCTTGATGACAAAAAACTGCACATCAAAATTACCAAGAACCCACTACATTCCTTTTTGAACAAAATCAGAGACAGAGGAGGAAACAACTCAGAATCAGAACCACACAAAATGAAACGTTGCAAAGCAAAAAACTAAGTCATATGTTTTGACTTTGAACTTGTAGCTCCTGAGCTGAACTATTAGTAACAAGCGCATCCCTACTAGGAGCAAGGACAGGGCTAGTAGCTCCTGGCCATGCTGACTACCAGGAACCAGAAGCTACTAGTAACAAGACATTGATATTAGAAGCAAGGACGCTACTAGTAGTTCCTGGCCTTAGTACCAGGAACAAACAACTATTAAGTAACCACTACTAGGAGATGCTGCCAGTAGCTCCTGGCCTTACTACTAGGAAAAGAATCTACCAGTAACCAGGGCATGCTACTAGGAGCAAGGACGCTACTAGTAGGTCCTGGCCTTACTACTAGGAACCAGAAGCTAGTATCAAGGGCATCACTTCTAGGAGCAAGGACACTACTAATAGTAGCTCAGCTTTCCTACTAGTAACAAAAAACCACTAGTAACAAGAGCATAGCTACAAGGACACTACTAGTAGCTCGTGGCCTTCTAGCAACAAAAAACTACTAGTAACCAGGGCATGGCTACAAGGACAGTACTAGCTCCTGGCTTTCCTTCCTACTGGTAACAAGAAACTATTAGTAACCAGGGACTCGCTACTAGGAGCAGGCAAGGATGCTACTAGTAGCTCCTGGCCTTTACTACTAGTAACAAGAAGCTACTAGGTGACAAGGGCATCGCTAGTAGGAGCAAGGACACCACTAAGTAGCTCTTGGCCAGTTATTAGTAACCAGAAACTACTGGTAACAAGGGCATCGATACTAGGAGCAAGGACACTACTAGCAGTTTCTGGCTAGCAACAAGAAATGAATTACTAATAACAAGGGCACAGCCCTACTGGTAACAAGAAGCTACTGGTAACAAGAGCATTACTAGGAGCCAGGACACTACTAGTAGCTCCGAAGCTACTAGTAACAAGGGCATCACTACTAGGAGCAAGGACTTGGCTAGGAACAAGACTGACATTATTAGTAACAAGGGCATCGCTACTAGAAGCAAGGACGCTACTAGTAGCTGCTGGCCCTTACTACTAGCAACAAGAAGCTAACTAGTAACACAGGCATCGCTACTAAGAGGAAGGACACTACTAGTAGTTTGGAACTTTTGAGATGTCCCACACGACTCATTGTGTTGTTGTAGGTTGATGTTTTGGTTGAACAGGTGAACATGTAAATCATTAGTTTCTTTGGGCAGGGTACCCCCTCAGCGTCAGCTACATGTCCATAAAGTAAAGTTTGGTGTTGGTCCATTGGTCCTGGATATAAAGTTGTTTGAAATTTGTTACCCTGTTGTTGTCAGTGTGTGAATTGATTGCTTCTGAAACAACACAATCTGAGCCAGAAAAAACAATCTAACTCACTGAGATGAATGTCCAACCGAATTGTCTGCCAATTTGAGGCCACTGGCTTGCAAAAACTCACAAGTTGGCTTGCCAGCCTTGAGGCTGGCACACACAACCTGTTGCGAGTTTTTGCTAGCCAGTTGGTCCGGGCCAACCTTCATAGCTCTTGGCTAGCAATCCAAACAATTTGCAGTCTGTGAACCTCAACTCCCTTGGGTTCTGCGCTAAGAATTCACGCTCTGTTTTCTTTCTGGACTTGCCTCTTGAGCTTTCCAGCGTTTCTATTTCATTGGTCTCGAATACCTACAGCCTCATGCCTTTGCTCAAAATCGCCACATAGCAGCTATGAAAAGTCTTTTTCAATCTCATTTAGTCATGATCTATATATATCTATATCTATATCTACTGCAAAGTGAACCATGCACGAGGCTCAAAATAGGACATTTGGATCCTACTCACGGCTTCACCACCACCAAAGCTTTCTGAGGTGGCAAGGTCACTGCCCCCTTCAAGAACAAAGCCGGTTTCAAAGGCACTAAGCCCTTGACAGCGCTGAGCTTCATGTACCACAGCACACCCAGAGATTCACTGCTTTGCCACAGAGACAACTTTTCTTTGGCTGCAGCATTGTGATCTTTCATCTCGCTGGAACGTTCCTCTGGTCGTGGCACAAAGGCCACTCGATGGGTTTTCTGGAGGGTGAACTGGTTGGGCTCATCGGCTGCGAAATTGATCTTGTAGTAGGTGATTTTGACATCTGGGTTCTTGCCCCTCAATTCTTTGAGGATGTCCCCCAAAGTTCTCACACTGCCACCGAAAGAGATCAAATCCGCACTTCCAGCCAAACTCAGCTCCACAGCAAATTCAGGGCATTCTTCGTCTGCTTTCAAAAGTTTGAAGCTTCCTTTCCCAAAACCTGCAATCACACTTTCATTGGCTTGCCAATCTTTGGAGCCCTTGTTGACCAGGTAGATGTGGTTCGAAGCCCTGACCTGCAAAAAGATGGGGTCCCGCGATCCAACCTTGCACTCTGACAAGAGAGACTTGTCGATGGAATCTGCATCAATCACGAGGGAGTCAGCAATCTGGTTACGAGGCTTCTTTCGACTTGGCCCTCCAGGACCATCTGCTGGGCGTTTGTTGGGCTTGGCATCACTTCCTGCTTCTTGTTCCACATCAATGACTGTGGCTTCCAAGATCTCATAGCTCTCCAAGAAGGAATCCAAAAAGGATTGAAACTCCTTGCCCACAATTTCATGGTTTCGCCACTGTTTCACCACATTGGCTGGCATGAAAAGCTTCTGGTCTTGGATCACCTCATTTGTGTTCAAAACTGGAAAAATCCTTGAACAATATAACAATATAATCCTTAACAATATAATCCTTAGACATGAATGACATGATATTTGCCCCAATGGAAACTCCCAAAGACTTCAATGGATGAACAAATTCCTAAAGAGAACACTAAAAACACACACACCCACCAATAATTATGTGACTTAGACACGAATGGGTCCCAAAGACTTCAAAACTCTTCCTCAAACATGAAATGATTACTAGTGACCAGAGTGTTCAACTTTGGCGGTGCTGGCAAGCTCTCCAAAAGATCATTTGGAACTTTCATGTCCACCACTTCTCCTGAAGGCAAAGGTGTGCCAGAAGCATACTTCTCAGTCAATGCCTCTTTCACCACGTGTTCCACATATGATGCCTCAGTCTGGTCCTCGCAGAAACCCAGGTAAAAGAGCCCTGGACGGCTGGTCCACTGGTGCACAAAGGCCTGCAACATGTCACCGATTGCCACATGACAATCTACAATCAACATCCCAGGGCCAAGAGAATCGTAGTTTGCACCCTCGAAGACTGAGTTGAGCAAGGCCACACAAGCTGGGCTACCAATTTGAGCATACTTCTGGGCTCCTTTCACCCGGGAATGGATGTCTGTTGCTTCAGGCAAGCTGTCAGGGTCCAAGTTTTCCACCTGCCTCATTTGTGGGCTGGGCATCTGCGGAATCTCCTCTGTTCGTTGCAGTTGTCGCAAACTGCTGGTGAAAAAGACATTCTTTTGAATCTCCAAGGGCGAAGCAAAAACCATCCTTCCATGGTACACCATGGGGCGCATGTCTCTGGCGTCTGATTTGCTTCCAAACAAGATGCTGAACCCCCAATCCAAGTTGTGGTTTCCTTTCAGTAGTTCATTGATCAGCTTGGTCTCTTCCAAAAGCAATCTTCCCCTGTGGTATGTGTGTACAGGAAGCAGTACTAGGCCAAGGGACTGCATGTTGTCTGCAAGAGTCCAGGTCAAAAGCTCAATCGCATGGCTTTGATTCTGAGAAGAGAGCAAAGAAGGCGCTGAGCAATTCAGGTAGACAATTTGGGCCATTTGTCCAACATGATCCAGGCCCAGCTTTGGCACAATATCTTGGCGGCGAAAGTTCATGACCTCCTGGATTGCTTTCTCAATCTTTCTATCCCACACCACCAAGCGGCAGCATGAGTTGAAGAATGAATCTGCTGCTGTGATGCACTGGGACCGTTTGTCCCTTTTCCATTGCATGTTTGCCACTTCACGGTTGGCCATGGCCACGCGGTGTTTCTTCATCCATGTTTGGTAGCATTGGGTGTCATATTCCATCTGCTTCAGGGTCAGATTGAACTGGTCCTGCACTAAACTACTCTCTTCATGCTTGGTGGTGGTGATGGGTTTGGTCAAACAGTGCTCATTCACCAATCTTTGCAACGTAGGAACGTCTTTCCGAGGATCCAGGTCATCCTTGCGGTCCATCAAGATAGAACCAATCTCCACATCGACTTTGGCATTGCCCTCAACCCAAGCTTCCAACCAAGCCTCTTGGATCCTGGATCCTGTCCCAAGGCACTGGCACCATCTTGGCCAACTCGTTGGCCAGCTGGACTGCCACTGCCGCTTTCATTGAGACCTCCTCGACTGTACCCACATCAGGTTTGATCCTCAGGCCTTTGGATCTGTTGTTTTGCAAGAACCGGATTGCCAACATGGTTGATGCATCTGAGGTTTTCAAGCGAGGGAGCCAACTCTTGGACTTGGATGGAAACTGATAGCGAGGAAACAATTTCTTGGTCGATAAATTGTCGTCACTCCAAGTGCACTGCTCCCAACCGTGCTGGGACACGTGGTCAACAATGGATCGCAACACTTCCTGGCAAATGTGAATCTGAATGAACCAAGTAAGTCCATAATCTTCAAAAAATTGTTAACTCAAAACCATAGAATTTCCATTTCCAAGGTCAAACATTGACATTAATTAAACAAAAATGCAACCATTTACAACCTTTAAATTCAACAACACAATAGAATCTTATTTCTGGGACCACCACCCCGCTCCTTGGGCGCCTCTTCAAACAATAGCTTCAATGTGATCAGCCTCTTGCCACTAAAGTGAAACTGCTTTGCGCTCATGGAGTTCCATTTCCTCACAAAAGCCATGCAATCATTCAATGTACCAGTAGCTTGCAGTTGCTGGATCATCGTGACAGCTTGCACAATGTTGGTAGGTTTCCTCAAGCTACCCCTGCAACTGATCTTCATGGCAGTGAGGGCTTCTTCCAATCGGCTTGGCTGTTTCACATGGTGCACATGAATGGCCTGACAAGACCTGAAGAGCTTCGGGAAGTCGGTGGACAAATCCACACGCATGCATTTCAATCTGTGCAACAAAAACATCAAACTTGATGCTCGAGCCATGCCTTTCAAGTATGCCAAGCTGAACGGACACAAACTTGGAGCAGGTACATTGTCTTGCCAACACTTTGGCATTGGACCACTAACAGGCACTGGGGTTTGAAGGACAGGAGAATGTGTTCGATCAAATCCAAACTGTGAGATTGGCCAGTTGGAGGCCTCAGAGAGCATTGCCTGCGCACACCCAAACTGGCCACATGGACAATCAGCGGAGGTGTTGTACTGGTCTCATCTTCTTTGACATCAGGCAATTCCGGCTTGTAGAAGTACATGAATTGATCGCTCTCAGGGATTTCATCCGAAAGCCAAGCTCCAAATTCTGCCAAATCCACTTGCTCCAAATATTGGCAAGGGCATCCAAAAATGTCAAGTTGCTTGGAACAGTCCTCCAAAATTGAATCTATAGTCGGCCTAGGCAATGACATCTTGGCGTCCTCCAAATCCACACAAAGGCTAACATCTTTGGGGCTTGTATCTCCATCTAAAAGAGTCCCAGGCCCAGTTGGTGTGCTGGAAGAAGCAGGTGGGTGCATGAGAATCTGTCCACCTGCCAGGTCCATCGGGGTGGCAGGAGCCTGCATTCGGATGCTTGGCCTTTGGCCAGGAGAAAAGTGGAAGCTTCCCCACTGCAAGCCTCCACACTGCGCTAGGCGCTAGTTGGACACATCACCAAAGAAAAAGGCTCAAACTGTCCAAATGGATGATCAAGTAGAAAAAAGTTGACATCGACTGCACAGAGCGCCAGTCTAAATTTAATACCTAATATATAATATATACTATATTTATTTTTTAGTCTTAGAATAGTTTGAAACCATCATTAAGTCTTAGAGGTTGCAGTACAGCAGTTTTGAGACTGACTTTACTTACTGCAGGGGACTGAGCAACTCCAGATAGAGTGAGCTACCAACAACAGAGCAGCCCACAGCAAACAGTTTACTACACTGTTAATCAACCTAGCATGGCCAGCTTTCAGAAGCGATGGCAACTACAAACTGAAAGACTATCAGCTCGACACCAGGTTACTACCATCTAGACTTTCCAAACCAGCCTATCTCCACTCCTAGATTTTGAAACCTTGAGATCGGCCGGTTTCAAATGAAACCAGCCTATCTCCCTGGGCGGCCAGCACTTCCAGCCTATCTCCAGTGTCGCTCAGTCACTGCACCTGTTGGGCTGGATGTTTGTCACTCCTGGGGAGATGGGCTGGTTTCATTTGAAACCAGCCTATCTCGGGGTCTAAGAATCAAGGGGTAGTGATAGGCCGGTTTGAGTATCATACCTTAACTAAACTCTCGCAAATTTTTTCCCACCACGTTTAGGTCTTGGCAGTAAGTCTTGTGGTCCTTTCATTTCCTTAACTAAACCCAGCGCAGCTGCCACAAGTAACACTGCCTCACTGACTGCAATGCAACAGCATGACCACAGCACCTAGTAGCAGTAGCACTGGGTGAGAGACTGTAGACTCAATAACTGCAGTGGCCAAAAAATGCAATAAACTGTCAACAAAATCAAAAAGTATGTCATGTTCTTTTTTCAGACCCGCTGCACAGCTTCAGCCAGCAACTGCACCAGCCCTGGTGGGTACGTCTGGCAAAATTTGGACATTGAAAACCTATTTTCTGATCCCTCAATTGGTCTGTGAATATGGTCTCTGGGACATTGCTTTGATTGCAGCTGTTCAGCCAGTACCAAATCATTGGTGACTATTGTGGTCCGCTTTTTCACTGGCATGCCCGCTGGGCTAAGAAGCCCCAGTTGACATTGGTCAAAGGTGCAAAGACGCACGCCTTTCATTCCAACCACCTGCTCCACTTCTGTAAGCTTCCATGAGGAAGCACGCCAAGGGTGTTCATACATGAACTTTTTCTTTTTTCTGATTTGTATTCGAGCACCATCCATACTGTGTGCAACATATCCCCTCGCTTGTTTCATGCGGCGTTCGTAGACCTCCACAGGCATCTTATGGAAATTGAACACGCGCTGAAGCTCACTAAACATCGTGCATGGTGGCGATAAACAAAGGAAATTGACATCGCAACGTCGCAAGATATCCAGACTCAGTTTCTTGCAAACTGGCATGTCAAAGTCCCAACCATTGAGAACATCGAATGACAGGCAAGGTTCTTGGTGAACTGACTGGAGGACACGTGGCACACTGTAAAATTCAACTCCAAGAATTTGTTTGGCCACAGAGGCAGCGTTTCGATTCAATGTTGACAACCATTTCTTGATTTCTTCAGGCTTGGGCACTTGCAACTCAATGTCTGGTAAAGATGGCGTTTCATCATCTGTCCAGTAGAAATATTCATCATTGTCTGACGGCGGCAATTCAGGAGTTGCCATAGACCCAGGTAATGATGGAGTACGCTCACCACTGTCGTCAGGCTCAGGGCAAGACAGACTCTCATCAGAATCGATGTCCATGGCGGTTTCAGAGGTGCTGAACTTGGAAACTAAGAGGTAATTAGTAGGCATAATCATGGATGGGTTGATGTGTGGTGTTGGTTTGTAGTTTTGATGGTAAAGACATGGTTTCAACCTGTACAAATTCTAACAACTTCTTGTTCCTCAAAACTATCCAACAAAAAAAAGGTTCCGCTGCAAATGCACAACGCTTGGAATGCCAGGCCAAACAGTGACCAACACAACATAGCCTTCAAACACCACTGCAAGTGCACAAGAATAGAAAGCGCTCACACTTTTGGACTCCGCGAGCGCCAGGTCAGCAAGGCCAGGTTGGCTTCACTCCACGTCTTCAATCTGGATTTGATATATCCAGCCTTCTGGAGATTTACGATAGCCATCTTCATGATTCTGTGCCTTGGCCCGGCACACAGCGCAGCCAATCTTGGGAGTGTCTTTCTTCCGACACTTGCCACACCCGAAGTGCAAGAATCCAGGCAATGCTCGAATTTCAGAGCCAGGTGGGCGATGGGAGGCGGGGCGTCTCAGGACTGGACTGGGCACTGGGCTTGGAGCCGGAGCTGCTTCAGCATCTGCTGGTGGTTGCAAAGGGGCGGGCCTGCTGCTCTCCTCAGCTTCATTCATCATCGGGCGGTCTTGGTCTTCTTTGGGTTCGGTGCCATGGGCAGGGCGTTTGCAAACCACCTTGGGCGAAGCTGCAGGACGTTTCAAGCCTTTCTTGGGCTTGGTCACTGTCACTGCTCTGGGTGGGGCTGGAGGCTCAACACTTAACTCATCCAAAGTTGTCCCAGGCAATGGCGCTATTCTTGGGCTTTTGTTTTCCCTGGAGAAAACAAAATGGAGTTGAGGAGGGGCATCAATCACACCTTGCTCGTTGTCAGAACACAATTGCAATAAATAGTCTTGCGCTTCCATCATGTTCCATGGGCTTTTTCCCACCATCTCGGCTGTCTTCCGGAATTCCACCAAAGTGGTCTCTGACAATGGGTTGCGGACTGAAGGTTCCAAAGCAGCTTTTGTATACTTAGAAAGGCATGAAGCAGGCATGATCAACTCTGGAGGTTGTGACCGATCAGGGCTTGAAATGTACTGTTTCAGGACCAGGCACACATCCCCTGGATCTTCTGGCAAGTCTTTCCAGTCATCTTGATGGCATTCAACCATTTCCTGTTCCAGGTACTCCCTCCGCGTGAACCTCCATGCAAGCGTGTCGATGTCAAACCACCGACCTGGGCATTTTTCATGATCCAACTTGCAAATGACCAGGTATTGTCCAATATTTCGATGTGGAGTTGTCGCCCTGCAGCTGCTGTCATGTGGGATGTCAAGTAGTCTTTCAAAGAATGAAGGCTGTCAATCTGCTCAGCTCTTTTGATGATTGTAGCCATCGTGCTGAATCGCTGATCGAGCTCATTATGCGTATGGCTGACTTGAAGAAACTGAAGTTCAACTGTCTCAAAAACTTCTCCAGCCAATTTGCTGAGATACTGCGCATAGAACTGGTTCTTTGACTCGCGTGGCGTGTTGTCTGCCGACACCAAAAGGTGTCGGGGCACCTGGAACCCTGGACCATATCCAGTCACTATGTCATTCACAATGTCCAAGGCGCGACTGGTGACAGTGGCCTGCATGGAGGCGTCCTTCTTGCAATCATGCTTCATCAAAAAATATATTTCTGCCACGCCCCACGCCACGACTCCCACAACGTGCGCCAAACTCTTCCAGCTCTTGCCATAATCTGATGCCCCGTTCAATCTTCGTGAACGTGGTATGGCAAACTTTTGCTGATCCATTCCGTCAATCATCAACTTCAAGAACCCGTCGGAGTTCTCTTTGAAGTTCTCAATTTGTGATCCTTTGATATTCCCTCGGCTGCTCACCGAGCGGTCTTTCTTCACAATCTCTAGGTGTTGCTGCAACTCAATGTCAAGCTCCATCTTCTCTTGGTTGGAAATGGCTGCGCTGCGAGCCTCCTTGTTCTTCAAGCAAATGGTACATTTGTTGCCGCCTTGAGGCGACATGAGGATGAGATACTTTTTCCAAGACCGATTGAAAGCACGATCAAAGCTGCTTCGCGACACCTGTTCTGAGGTGGGCGTGTCGGTCTTATAGAAAGTCCAAAGCTCATTGAGCGTTGCAAAATTGATATGCCTTCTCTGAGCAATCCTTTCTTCTTTTCCTGTAGAGGCGGCATTGAAACTCAATGACAGCAATGGGTGGTTCAAGTCATCCACAATCTGTGTCACAGCGGGCTCCTGCCCATCAAGCAGCGGCATCCGATCTCCGATCCTGGAATTGCAAGCGGGTCCGCTAAGAATTGGTACACCTCTAAGAACCACAAGCTGACCTTTTCATAAATTGGCTCGGGTTTAGCCATCCTCGGTTTGGGCTTTGGCAAAACCATGTGGCCTTGCCTCAGTAAATGCAGCAGCTGGTCAACTCGCCCTGGACTCAAACTATGCAAAGATTCCCAGAACTTTCTGCAGACTGTCTTTTGCATGAAAGTCCAACATAATCCTTTCTTCTGTTTCTCCGGCGGGTTGGCGTTGAACACCAGTTTCAATTTCTCGAATTTCCTGGTTTGCACTTCATCGAACTCACCTTGACCAATCTCCAATTTGTAGTTTTCAAGGCAGGAGGACTCAAACAATGTATGGCAATTTCGCTTGCAACATCCAGTGTTGCCTGAAGATTTCTCAGGGATCAAAGTTGAACTGGCCACAGAAGCTGGGAGCGACACTTGGCTATCATCAGTGGCGTCAGACTTCGGCAATGATGGTGTCTCACCATCAATGAGTTCATCCATGGTAGCATTGAACAATGATCAACAAATCTGACATTGAACTAATGGTGTAAATATGTTGTATATTTCCAATTCACCCAGAGTAGTATGTTTGATGCAAAAATTAAATGTAATACAACAACAATAAAAGTGACAATTGAAATCGCTTTATCCATTTCCCCAACCCCAGCCTTTCCCCAGTGCCAGACAGCCAGTGACCCGTTGCTAGCCAGCTCAATCTCATTATTGGCACGCCAATGGCTAGCCAACTCAAGACTGGCATACCAATGGCTAGCCAACTCAAAGTTGGCATGCCAATGGCTAGCCAGCACAAGGTTGGCGCGCCAATGGCCAGCCAACTCAAGGCTGGCATGCCAATGGCTAGCCAACTCAAGGTTGGCATGCCAATAGCTAGCCAACTCAAGGTTGGCCTGCCAATGGCTAGCCAACTCAAAGTAGGCATGCCATTGACCACCCACCTCAGGGCTGGCAAAACAACCCAATGGCTGACCGGCTTTAATTAATGCACACCACCCTAACAGCCCACCTTTTTCATTTTCCATCGGCGCATCTTTGCAGCAGTCACTAACTGTTGGCTACAGATTGGATCTGCTGCATCCACAAATTAACCTAAGTCTCTAAGACTCTGAGGAAAACTCAATGGTCTAGCTCTTTGAGCCGCACATTGACCATATCTCGAACAAAATGTCAAACTGTTTCATGCCCTGCTCCAAAATCTCTTCCATTGGTGTGTTCTGCAAACCAGCCCAATGACGTGCTTCAATCACATGCTGAGGATTCAACCCCAACTGATTGCGGGCAGCAAAGTAGGATGACATGAACCGCCGGACACGTAGCTGGTTGAAGATACATCCAAGCTGTTTGCGATCTGTTCCTTAGCACTCACTCCACCCACATTTGCAAAATACAATCATTTGCAAAACAATTTGGCCAACAGGAAACTTGTCAAAATAAATGAGTCTGTCCAATCAAGTCTCGAGGAGGCCCATTTGGAACTGTGATGGTTGGGGGCAGAAATTCGCTCACTGATCCATGTGGTGCCATTGGTTTCAATTTGGTCGCCCGCATTTCTTCTGGTTCCCTGCTTGTGGTCCTGGTCCTTTTCTTCAGGTTGATGGCACTGGCCAGCGAACTGTGTGCCCAAGGTGTTTGGCAAAGGATCCCATGGTTCCGGTTCAGGGCTTGAAGGTGGCTCTGTTGCCACATAGCCTTCCAAGTCATCGAAGATCAATGGGTTGGATGATGTTGATGCCAAAGACCAAATGGATTTGGTCTCATCCGAGTCATTGAGGGACTTATCGGCATCGATCTCGTTTTCCATGGGCTCAGACCGCCCCAAAGCCATTCGCAAAGAGGCCATTGAAACTGAGAAAAAAATTGCTGCGGAACAAAGTCATGGGTATCAACCAGGCATACCAGCATAAGGCAGTCACATCAACTACTAGCTGGCCAGCCAACTCAACAGATGGCTTGCCAAAACCATGAGTTGCTATGACTTTGCTGGCCAGCCGGTTTTACAAGCACATTACATGAGTTGAGGGTTGCAAAGGCACTGACTGGTTTGACAAATTGTGTCAACTAAGTGTCAAAAAAGGAAAGCCACGTGTGCCGTCTTTTTCTTTCCATCAATTAATCTTAGTGTCAGGCAAACTTTGGCCGGCTTCCACTGCATCTGATGCCTGCTTCAACCGCTTCCGGAATTTCCTCCTACTTTCTCTTTCTCGTTTCAATTGTCTCTGATGCTCCATCTTCTCTTCCAAAGTGCGTTTCCTCTTGGATGGCTGTTGGTCTTCATGGTCCACCAGGTAGGGATCGTGGTCAACCTTTATCTCAGTCTCTGCTTCTGATGCCGGCGTGGCATTTGGCACGGGCGTTTCTGGCTGAGGCGCTGGCTTTTGGTAGGGATCTTGTTCTGATATGGCTGGCTCAGGTGCTGCAGGCCCAAGTGTGATACCCACCACAGGAACGACTTCAGGAGCCTGTCGTGCTGACTTTCTGATCCTGCTGGTTGGCCTATTTTGCCTCCAAGGTGGCAGTTCCGGCACTTCGAGTGCAGGTCCAGGTTTTGAATCATAACTTCTAAGAAATTTCTGTTCAGGTCCAGGTCCAGCTGCTGCATCGCCATCAATGTTGATCTCCACCATGGGCTTGGATGCCTGACACTGTCCAACATCAGTAGCCTCACTCGCGACATCATCAAAGTCCAGTTTGGTCACATCTGATTTGGTCACATCGGTCGAAGCAGAAGAAGGTGAGGAGGTAGTCGACATGGCGGCATCCATGAAAGTCAACGCTTTCTATATAATCCAAAATATGTGTCCATTGAATGAATTTAATGTGTTTTATTGTACATCTTGTCCACTGTTCTCAGTTCTGGGTCTTTGGAACAATTTCTTTCAAGTGCAGTCAATCAGTCAGTCCTGTTGAAAGCGCAATTCAATTAAAGAAGCAAACTAACTACCTGCCAAGAAGAAAATATACAGCACAGTGTTTAAACAATCTATAGGCACACAAAGTCAACACATATGACTGAGTGGTTAGTTGTAAGGCCAAGAGTGAGTTACTAGTAGCAAAGTCAAAACATATGACTTAGTTTGTAGCTTAGCAAAGTTTTGTTATTTGTGGTTCTGATTCTAAATTGTTTTCTTTTGTGTTTTCTGAATTTTTGTCATCAAGCACCCAGGAGGATTCAGGAGGATTCATTCCAGAAGGTATGGCGATGCCACAATTGGCACCCACCAGTCACTGCACACTTATGGG